TCTCCATCACTTCCTCAGCTATGAGGAGAGTTAGACTGGTTTATTATTAATTTGTCTTCTACTGTGTTTGCTTCATTTTATTCCCTGTTACTAGGAATAAATACTGGTTCCACTGCCAGAGACCTCTTAGACTGCCCAGGCCTCCCCTCTGGCACCCACGTTCAGGGGGCCTGGTTCGGTCCTATGGTGGTTCCCCAACTGTCAGACTGGGGTCCTTGAGCTCCCACTTGCTCAGGTCAGCTGTTTCTGTGGGTTTCCTGAGCATGGTCTTGACCCCTTTGCTCATCACTCCTCCCTCTCACTTTCTAAAGACTCCAAAGGTACAGAAAATAATTCAAAGATTTAATTAAAAGGTATTACATGAAATGTAAAAGCTTCTGTAAGGACAGTAAGATAGTCCATCAGACAATGGCATCTGTTTCACCTAGCAACCTGAATTAAATGAACCCATGTAAAGGTTAAAGAAAAGAATCAAGTCCACGAAATTGTCCTCTGGCCTCCACTCATGCTGTGACTTGTGTTTCTACACATATACACCATGTGTACACACATACACATACATACATACGCACACATGCACGCATACACACACACACACACACACACACTCACAGTCAATTTTTATTAAACTTCCTATTCAGCAAAGGAAATAATCACCAGACTGAAGCAGCATCCTCCAATGAGGAAGCAATTGTCCAAAATTCTTCTAATGGGATTACTATCTCAATTATATAAAGAACTGAAAGAATCTAAACACAAAAGTGAAATATATACGTCTTCAGACAAATATCTAGAGGCAAACAGACATGGGCTGATGTGGAACTCAAGTCCCACTCCAGCAATTCACCATGATAGTAACATCAAAAAGAAATAACACAAAAGCAATGGGGAAAACCTAAGAGGAATTTATTACAGTAGGTTGAATAGTGAATCATGTCACATGCATGAAAACTGACGAGACTTGGAAGATACTGTTTGAGATTTTCTCAAACAAATGAACAAAGTTTCTCAGGGTAGTGGAAGAAAGTGCATTCTGTAGCTGTTAGAATAGTCTATACTTGTTTGAATATTTCATACTTCTACATTTTATGTAATATAATACAAAAGCATTTTCACTAAAATTAAATAGAGGCATCTACTCAACACTTTTATTCAATATAGTGATAAATTCATAGTCAAAGCAATAAGGAAATAAAAGGGATACAAAAACAGAGAAGTTAAATTATCCATCTGCAGATGATAGACCCACATGTAAAAGCTCATAAAGAACTCACCTGAAGATTCCAAGATTTGATCAAAGATTCAGCGAAGTATCAGGTTGCAAAATCACAAAAGAATCAGTAACATTGCTATACACTAACAAAAATTTTGCTGAATAAGGTATCAGAAAAACAATGTCATTCAAACTAGTTTAATACTTAGGAATACATATAACCAAAAATATCAAGCACTTTCAAGAGGAGATTTTAAATGTTTTTTAAGGTAATAATCAGAACACAGTCCATTTAAAAACATACAAAAGGCATAAAGAGACTTCATGAAGTATATAGGAAAGAAATAAAATATGGCTCAAAACAATTACCCATTATTGAAATAAGAACTTAAGCCATAATAAAACACTTCTACAAATCTATGGATATGGTTAAAATAGAAGATAACAATACCAAGTGGTGACAGTGATGCAGACAACTGAAACTCATTTACATAGGGCAAAAAATGATAATCACCAAAGTTGTTTGCAGTTATTTATACAAATTATTGGAGAAACTACAAAATTGCTCTGCCTTAACAGTGGCAGCAGTTACAACACTGCTGCATGATAATTGGATAACAGAAGAAATCAAGAAGGAAATAACGAATCAATGCAATGAAGATTTGTTTCTTTGAAAAGCTAAATGAGACTGACAAAGCTTTACACAAATTAACCAAAACAGAGAGGACCCAAACTAATAAAACTACAAATGAAAATGAATACAGAAAACCCTACGAACATACTTTTATTTTTGGGTGTTTTTTGTTTTGGTTTGGTTTTTTTTGGTTTTTGGTTTTCGATTCAGGGTTTCCCTATATGGCTTTGGAGTCTGTCCTGGAACTAGTTCTTGTTGACCGGGGCAATCTCAAACTCAGAGATCTGCCCTGCCTCTACCTTCCAGTTGCTGGGATTAAATATGTGTGCCACCACTACCCGACAAGAACACGCTTTTAAAACCTCTATTCCAATAAATTCAAAAATAGATTTTCTCCTGTATTTTCTATTTGAAGCTTTAGAAACTTCAGTTTTACACTTAGAATTGATAAACATTTCTTTTAATTTTTGAACATACTACAAGGAATTTAGAGTTTATTCTCCATATATGGATGTTCATTCTTCCAGTACTCCAATAATCAACTGGCCATACATAAACAGATATATTTCTACTAGTGTCTATATCATTGCTTCTCAAGCTGTGGGTCACAACCCCACAGGGGCTGCATATCAGATATTTACATTACTAACAGTAGCAAAATTAGCTTGAAGTAGCAACAAAATAATTTTATGGTCAGGAGTCACCACAACATGAGGAACTGTATTAAAGGGTCACAGCATTAGGAAGGTTAAGAGCCACTGTTCTATACCATTCTCATTATTTGTATGTTTAACTTCACAATAATATCAGTCTGGTTTGATAAACTATAATTTCATTGTCTTTAAATCAGCCTTTCAATTTTTTTTCCTTTCACAAAATTCTCTTACTACCAACCCTACACATTTTATGTAAACTGTAACATTTACTATAAGACCTAGCTATTGAGTTCCACACACAAAAACTATCAATATTTTAGTTGAAAGTATACTGAATTTATGGTCTAATCTTGCTCAGAACTTTCATAAAACATCAGGTTTTTCAGTCCATAGTTATAGTGTATTTTTCTATCTGTAGCTTTAATTTTCCTTAGCAGTGCTTTGTAGTTTTCTACCATCTCATGTATTTTTTGTTAAACTTATCCAAAGTTCCATATTTTGATTTTTGTGATATTCTATGAGTGTGAGGGATCGCATGCACACACACCTGTGTACATACATTTATCAAGTGTCTTCCTTTAATCCTCTTGCCTATTCTCTGAACGAGAAGCTCCCCAATTTAGCTGGAGGAACAGTCTATGGTGAAACTATAGGCAAAGCATGAAGCCATGCATGACAGTTTCATATTTATACATAGTAAGCCCTGCTATTCACTGAGCCATGTCCCCAGCTACTTTCATGAGTTAATTATTTTATATGGTTTTGTCTGCAGGTATGCATGTGTAAATTGTGTGTGCCTGCTGAAGTCAAAAGAGAGTGTCAGATACCCTAGAATATGATTTACTCATGGTTTGTTGAAATGCCATATGGTTTCTAGGAATCAAACCCAGGTTCTCGGCAAGATCAAGTGTTCTTAAGCACTGAACCATCTCTTTGGGCCATATTTTTATCATTTTAAATTTCCTGTTTTCTATTATTACATAAGAGAGATAATTACACTAAATTTAAACTGTTGCCTTGATAAATACATGTTAGCTCTAGCAGATATTATGTACGCTCCTAAAAATACTCTACATTGCTAATCATGTTATCTGCAAATAAACATGGTTTCATTTCTTTGCTTTTAAATTGAGTGATTCTTCTTCCTTTTGTTCATCTATACTGACTAGAGTGGGGATTAGCAAACAGCAACCTCTGTACCAAATCAACGCTACTATCTGTTTTTGTACAAACTGTGAGCCAAAACTGTTCTCACATTTTCTTTTTGTTTTTGTTTTTTCAAGACAGGGGTTCTCTGTAGGAGGCTGTTCTGGACCTTACTCTGTTGACCAGGCTGGCCTCGAACTCACAGAGATCCACCTGTGTCTTCCTCCCAAGTGCTGGGATCAAAGGTGTGTGCCACCAATGCCTGGCTGTTCTCACATTTTTAAATATTTAAAAGGAAATCAAAGAAATACTATTTAATAGTATATAAAAGCTATATAAAATTCAAACTTCAACATCAATTAATAAACTATTATTGGAACAGGTCACATTCACTTCTTTATGCTTTGGTGTTACAGCAACAGAACTCTGAACTGACAGCAAACCATGCCATAGAGCCTAAGACTGTAGTGACCTGACCCCTTTTATAAAATGTTTGCTCATTCCTGGGCCAGAAGCATTAGTATAATGTTCACTAGAAAGACAGGTATCTCTGCCTTTTTAACCATTCAAATTCTTAATCACTAAACCATTTTTCCAGTCCCCATTCATTCAATACTTAAGGAACAGGTAATATCTGATATACACTAAAAGCAAAAATATACTTAGTGTTTATTTAGCATGTTTCCATACATACATGAATTTCTTCTACATTACTACAGAATTCAATCATCTTCATTGTCAATACTGACTATAAAAAACTAAGAACAATGTAATACAATATATGTCAATGTAAATTATAGAAAGTGCATAGTAATAAGAAGGATATCAAAAGTTTATTATTTTACAAAAGTAAGTTCTAAGCCTGGGAAGATAGCATAGTTGGTTAAGTGCTTACCACCCAAACATGAGTTCTTGAGTTTCATCCACAGAACCCATGTCACAAAAAGGGAAAAGAATCCTGAGCCTGGTTGTAAACGTCTGTGTTCCCAGTGTGGGGAAGGCAGACAGTGAAACCCCTGTAACTTCATGGGCAGCCAGCCTAGCTTACTGGCAAGCCCTAAGACAATCACAGACCCTGTCTCAACAAACCAAGTAAATGACTTGTGAATAACTCATCCAAAATTGGTCTCTGGCCTCCACATGCAGACTCACAGGTGCATGTGCACCCCTACACAAACCACACACACACACACACACACACACACACACACACACACGTCCTCACACAAACTCTACATTTAAAAAGTATACCATTATTCTTCATGCAGAAAAATGTCTGAAAATCACCACAATCATCCCTTTACATTCTGAAGTATATGTAAATTATTGATAGTTTTTAAAAACAACATACCCACAATAAAAGGCAGCCATAAGCATATAAGTCTGAACTTTCAGAAGGAGGTTTTCCAATTTTCAATTCAGGTGATAGCAAACTCAATCCACCAACCATCATGTTCACTGAGGCTCGCTGACTCTACAAAAACAGTATTGTAAGTATTTTAGAGACAAAACAGTTGAAAGCTTTGTGTGGGAGCCTCTGTTCTCAATTTAAAGTTCTGTTGAAATATTCTATTTTCTACTCCCGAGTATCTAATTTTCTCCTCTTACAAATTTTACTTCTGTTATACTCAACCTTTGTCATACTCAGATTGAAGGTGTGGACTGAATATGAATAACTCTGAATTCTTTGATCACAGACATTGTTTTGTGTATCTTAATTTAAATCTTTACATGTGTGCATGCTTCTGTGCATGTATGTTAGGGGTGGAAGTATGGATGAGCATGTGTGCCACTGAGCATATGTGGAGTTCAGAGAACAACTTCCTGGAGAAAGTCTTCACCTTCTGCCTTGTTGAAGCAGGGTCTGTGTTGCTTTTTCTGTTGCTACACTACTACTCTAGGCAAGCTGCCCAACAAGCCTTAGATTCTCCTGTCTCTGCCTCGCATCTCACTGTAGGAGTGCTGTAGGTATGTGCCACTAAATCAGGCTTTCTTGACTTTTTACATGGGTTCCAGGGATCAAACTCAGGTTATCAGGCTTGCATGGATAGTTCTTTACTCATGAAGCCATCTCCCCTTCCGTTTGTATATTTTAATAAATTTACAAAACAATACTAATTCTGAACGCTCTAAATATTTTTAATTAAATTGTACACATTATTTTCTTCATGACCATTTTCTAAATATATCACTTTCTAAGAGATCAAAGGACAATTAATGACAATTCATGATACCTAAATTCAGTCTACCATTAGTTGCAATTCCAATGTTCTAATTTATTTGCTGTGTGGTCTAAAATAACTTTTAAAATGGAAATAATATCTACATTATAGAGTTGTTATAAAGATGATAATGAGCACAGCGCCTACTACATATAACTAAGTATTAATTAAATATTTTCTCCACTGATGAGAACACACACCAAAGTCTCACTTATACATATAATTAAATACATTAGTTCATAAAAAGAATTACGTCCTTAAACATTCAGTACCCTACATTAACTCTGAATGTTACTATAACAAAAATAATTTACAAAAGGCCAATTATTGCATTATTTTACTTTTATGAGATTACAGAATAAGAAAATCCAGAAGTACAAACTATATTACTGGTTTCAGAGGTCTGAACAGAAGCAGAAATGATAAGTAACAGCTAATCTGTGACTACTTTGTGGTGTGATAAAAATTATCTGAAATTAGATAGTGACAATCAATACACCACTTCGTGAATACATTGAAAACTAGTACCCAATTCCATACTTTCTACTGTGTGAACTTTATCTCAATAAACTTGTACTCTAAATGGGAATTGTTGATTTAGCCACTCATAGCATATCAAAACAATAGGCAATATATAATAAACATATACATCTTTGTCAATTAAAATAAACAAAGAGGAAATTTCTCCCTTGGGATCATCTATATTACTAGACTGCCTACTCCACAAATACACATAAGAATATCACATTCTCTGAATTGTTTGAACTTTGCTATCTCTATAAGCTGCCTATTGGGAGATAATGTGATACCAAATTAAAAGTCATATAGTTGAACCTAGACTTGAATGAAATAAAAGCACCCATGGTTCTCAGGCTTCTAAAAATGTACTATGATAATAATAGCAAAGCATACATTTATAATCTATGAAAGAAAGGAACATAAGCAAAGAAAGTTTGTTACGTGTTTCCTAGCAACTGTTTCCTAATGAGAAAAGTAATAATAAATGTTGTCAATGCCATGCAGTAGGTCAGATTGTTTCTGCATTTATGGCAAAAACACAATCCTCATCATGATCTAGATGACTGTTACAGACACGATTTGTACTACATAATAAATAACACCTTTATTAAGTGGTTTCCGTCCAGTAAAGCTATATTTTACCTCAGATTTGGTGAAGTCAAAATCTCCAACAATTCCTTGTTCACGATTTAAGGCAAATACATTGTTCTGATGAAGTGATCCATGAATTATGTTAGCACTGTGCAATGTATGTAGGCCTCGAGCAACACCTTTCATGACTTTTAAAGCTTCCTACAAATAAGTACATATGAATGAGATGGAGTTTAGAAAATTGACAACTCATTTTAATGTATAAATTTTGTCTCTATTAAAAGACTGGGGCTGGAGAGATGGCTCAGTGGTTTAAGCACTGTTCTTCTGAAAGTTCTGGGTTCAATTCCCAGCACCCACATGGCAGCTCACAGCAGTCTGGTGCCATCTTCTGGTGTGCAAATGTATGTGCAGGCAAAGTACCCATATACATAAAATTCATAAATAAATCTTTTTAAAAAATAAAGACTGTCCCAGAACTGAAGTAAAGACTCCTTCAAACTAAGGGTATATCACAAAGACTGAAGGCTGGATAAAACTTAACTATGTGTGGTTGTTTAAGTAAAGCTGGCCTCAATGGGCTCATGTTTGAATACTCACCCCCCTGGTAGACTATTTGAGAAGGGTTAGGAGGAATAACCTTGTTGGAGGAGGTGTGTCACCCAGGGAAGACTTTGAGGATTCAAAAGTCTGACGTCATTTCCCTGTGTGCTCTCTGCCTCCCGCAGCTGTTTCCACCACCATGCTTTGCACTCTCTGGAATTTTAACTTCAATTAAGTGCTTTCTTTTGTAAGTTGCCTTAATCATGGTTCTATCACAGGTAAGTGATCCTCTATGTAACTGGTAACTTCAATAAGTGGTCTTTGCATACAGGCAGACACACATGCACACACACACATGGGCAGGGGCACACGCACACACACACACACACACACACACACACACACACCACTAGCTCTAAGGCAACTTAAATTATAAATTATCACCACGTCAAGTAGCTAGAAGAGAATAAAATAATGTTACTATTATAGGAAGAATCAGATCCTCCTTTATTACTAATTCTAAATTTATAATGAAAAAGCTAAAGCTGCCATTTAAAATTAAAATATCAACTACTATCCTAGAAAGCTACATATAGCACAGCTTATTGGTTGTAAGTCTGGGTTCTGAAACCATAAAGGCCTAACTTCAAGTTTCAGTTCTACTAGATGAAGAGGTTCTGTGCAAGTCACTTAATCCTTCTCAGTCTTATTTTTCTTGTGTGCACAGAGCTGATACAGCAATGAAATAGAATAATGCAGGCCAAATATTTGTGCACAAGAGCATGCGATATTGGGTGTTGCATATTAGACGTTAGTTTCTCATTTAATGCATCCCTGAAGATGATTTTTACTTACTTCTGAAGTTAAAGGCATGCTGGCTTGAACTGCACTCAGGTTTGCCTTAGGATAATATGGGACCATCAGGTAGGCGACAGGATCAGACTGAGAAGCAAAATAGAAAACGTAACTCAAAGCGAACAGTTCACCAATATATTTGTATTTTGCAGTGATTCTATGAAGCAGCTATTATTTTAAGAACAATTACTACTTAAAACTTACTTCAGATAAAATTATTTCTCCAGTAGACTAGCTTAAGAACTTTACCTTACACAGAAACAGGAATATCAATGGCAGTAACCCAGACTCTTCCTTAGCATCTCCACAAGCTCTATGATAGGAAGCTGCTCTCTGAATCACCCTGCCTTCTGTGTCAACATCCACAGAATAGCCCTGAACAAGAACAGAAAAAAAACCAGGTGTGGTCATTTCAACATTGAAAACCCATTCTAATTTACTGTTCCAAGTGAAATATAAGTTGTTGTATGTTAAATTACATATATTTTTCTATTTTAATTTGAAGTACATTCTCGATCTGCACTGAATACTGTAGAATGGGAACAAAAAAGAGTAACTATCAGCAACCTAAATCTTCATCCCCAAATATGCACAACTAAACCAACTTAAAGACCCTCTGAAGTTCATTCACAGTCTCACCTCACAAGAAGAAATTAAGGGGCTGAAGAGATAGTTAGTGGTTAAGAGCACTTGGTGTTCTTGTGATAGATGGGAGTTTGGGTCCCAGAACTCACATGGTGTCTCACAACTGTATGAACCCAAGTTCCATGGGATCCAGTGCCATCTTCTGACCTCCATGGGTGCCAGGCATGCATGTGAGACAAAGATACACATGCAAACAAACTACTCACACACAAAAAATGACATTTTAAAAAGCTTCAAAGAAATTAGGTAACACAAGATTCTGTTGGCAGCATAGCTGAGCTTTCAAGAAATATCAAAGAAAAACACAAATTTTTGAAGATTACTCAACAAAATACAGTAAGTTTACCCAAAAAAGAAAATCAAGTAACCCTGATAAAGACAGTACTCTTCAGGGAAAGGAGAGGAACTGTAAAGTCAAATTAGCTCAAACACAATCATCATTGCCAGTCAACTGACATACTTTACAAATAGTGAGTTTGTTTTATTCCCTGAAAAGTAACTTCACTGCTTCCTTTACACTTCTGAAGCTTCCATAAATCAGAACTTAAAATTACCTTTAAGAGAACTGACTGCCCATCAACCACAGAGGACACCAGAGGACGCTTGCTGCTAAGTTCCTTCATGGGCTCAGTGTCAAGAAGGTCTCGCTCTAAGCTCATAGTAAGAAGACCACCAGAATTCTAGGTACAAATAATTACATTTAGACAATCAAAATAATTCCTTAGGGCTTTCAATCACCAACATGATTGGGGCATACTATTAAATGCAATGGAGATCATCAACTAACTGAAAAATAAAACAAAACGTTTACAGTTTGGGTTCTTTTTTTTTTTTTTTTTTTTTTTGCTTTTGTTTTTGACGAGACAGGGTTTCTCTGTATTGTTTTGGAGGCTATCTGTCCAGCCCAGCCTCGAACTCACAGAGATCTGCCTGCCTCTGCCTCCCGAGTGCTGGGATTAAAGGCGTGCACCACCACCGCCCGGCCAGTTTGGGTTCTTCTTAATCCCTGGCTCTTGAATGCCTCCTGCCTACTGTCACTGCTGTAAATTTAACAGACTGCAGAAATGGTGAGGTTAATACAACATGCTTGCAAGAAACTCCCATACTTACTTGAAAAACCTCACATATGTCCTAAAAATTAAAATGAAGACAAGTGAAAGTAGTTAGAGAATAGTAATAAGAAATCTAAAAATGATGACTGAGTAGAACTCATACCTCTACTCCTGCTTCACATCCCTAAATGTGAAAATTATTTCATAACTTTTAATCATGATATTTTTATAATTTTTACATTTAAACTAGAATTTTTTTCCTTTAGTAGATCTGTTTGTTTCCTCCTTTGTTTTTGAGACAGGGTTTCTCTGTATAACTTTGGCTATCCTGGAACTTGCTTGGTAGACCAGGCTGGCCTCACACTCAGAGATCTGCCTGCCTCTGCCTCCCAAGGGCTGTGACTAAAGGCGTGCTCCACCACTGCAGAGCTTAATTTGTCAACTTATTTTTTAAATTTCATATATGTGTACTATATTGACACATCATGCCCCCTCCCTCCAAGTCCTCTTATATCTTCCCCACTCTCATATTCATGGCCTCTTTTTTATTTTTGTTACAGACACACACACTATGCTGAGTCCATTTAGTGTTGCTCACACATGTATGTTCTTAGTGCTGGCCACTTGATACTGAATAACAAATTGGGGTTATTCCTGGGGAAGACTGATTTTCCATATCTTACCAGCTATTAATTACCTGTAGCTTTTTATCTAGGGTAAGACCCTGTGAGATCCTCTAACCACATTACGATGAAACTACTAGTGTCACTTTCCAAACCATTATAATGTCTAACTGTACTCTTAATACTCATCCTTACACCCACCAATAAGTAGAGCTCTCACCCCTCATCAAACGATCTTCCTTCTGCAGCAGACAAAGATCAGTACAGAATCCACAACTGGTCAAAATGCAAAGAACCACTGACCATGGGTTGCCAGATCTAGTAGATACATCTACAACCCAATCCATACACCTAAAGCTCAGGGAGCATCACAGAAAGTCTTGTGCAATATTCCTTAGTCTATATATGACAGGGAAGCTGAACCCATGAACTCTCAACAATATAGATGCGTAAACAAGACCCAGACAACGACAAAGTTTTGTTACAGTATAGTTTTAGAGGGCAATATTATAGGATTGTTTCCTAGTGTTTTTTGTGTTGTTAAATTTCAGTAATACATGATGATCAGTTATAAAAGATTTCTAGGCCTACACCGCAAAATCATCTGAAACATAATCCATAAACTATGATTTGAATCTCTTACACACTAATAAATAAAATAATCTTCAACTTCCATATAATTATATACAGTCACCAGACACAAAACAGTCTCTAAAGCTAGAGTTACTAACTTCAAAGAAAAACACACAATTTTTTTAACTTTTTACTTTTTTGTTTTTGTCCCGTTTCTTGAGGTTTGGGGGATGTTTGTGGTTTTTTTCTGGGGTTTGTTTTTGTTTTTTCAAGACAGGGTTTCTCTGGTAGGCTTGGCTGTCCTGGAACTAGTTCTATAAACCAGGATGGCCTCAAACTCACAAAGATCCACCTGCCTCTGCCCCTCGAGTGCTGGGAATACCGTGTACCCCCACCAACGCCCAGCTCATGTTTGGGTTTTTAAGACAGGTGCTCACTTGGTATCTATTTCGGGTTATCCTGGATCTCAGTACACAAGTCAGGCTGCTCTAAAACTGAGAGCAATCCTCGTGCCTCAGTTATCCAAATTCTGAAACTACAATAGTTAAGTTGTGATATCCAATTCACACATCATTTTTAAATATGGTATGGGAAGATCTTATAACAATTCTTTAACTTTTTTATTTTTGTGGCACTGGGATGGAACCTATGAAATTATATTACCAACTGTGGTCCAAGATACGTTAATCTTATACATCTATGAAAATAAACTCGTGTATTTATACAAACATCTCTTTATAGGTCATGTTTTATCTATTAACTTACTAAAGCTTGTTTTGAGACAGGGTCTCATGTAGCCCAGGCTGCCCTTGAACTTTGATCCTCCTGCCTCTGCCTCCAAAGTACTGAGACTACATGTATGCCACTACATGTATTTTATGCAATATGGAAACTGAAAGGTTTCATGCATGCCAAGCAAGCACTCTGTCTACTGAATTAAATATCTGGCCAAGCATTAACGCCAATCTGAATAAATAAACACAACTGGCTTCTGTATCTGTGAATTCTGCTTCCTTATATCCAATCAATTATTAAGTGAAAATATTAAATAAAATTATATCTGTGCCAGATGCAGATTTTTGTTATGCATTCCCTAATTACTATAAGTGAATAATTTATGTAATACTCATATTTTACTAGATATTAAAAGTATTCTCTATATGATTTAAACGTATACCAGGAAGCACTATATGGTCACTCAAGCCTGTAATCCTAGACCTCACAGCAGGGTCGAAGGAGAATGATAAGTCAAGGTTGGCCCAGACTGTGTCACAAGACCCTTACTCAAAAACAAACAAAAAATCCAAATATTCCTTTATGTCAGGAACATATACAGTTTGGATTCTATAGCCCAAGCGATCTGGAAAGCAATTCTAAACACCAGAGAACAATGGTACTTTATCTCAATCTTTATTGCCTCTAGGCAATCTAAACACTGGGCTATATAGATTCTCCTCAGAGAATTAGTTTCCCCATTCTTCAGTTATTTAATGTGAAAATCTACTGGCCTTGGAGTCTTGTTTGCCAAGAAAACCAAACTCACATCAACATCTCTATTTAAACTGCTTGGTTTAAGATAGTCTCAGGAAAAGGTTCTAGTAACCCTTTCAGACACTTATCAGGAGTAATTCCATAGAAAAGCTACTCTATATGTGAAGCTGACACGATATGAACATCACTATGTTCTCATTCTCTGCATGGAGGCAATTCTCAGAGGAAACAAAGCTCACCATATATTTAAGTAATCCGACTTCAGGGTACAGCAGAGGCAGTTCAGGGAACCATTTCTGTGTCAAGCTATTCAGCTTCTCCTAAAGTTAAAAAGTATTTTTACTGTAGATCAGTATGTATTCAATTGTAGCATGTTACTCTTCAGGAAAATATATTACCATTTGCCTTCTTACAACCAATAAGACACATAATCCTTAATTTTTACTTCTACTTCAAGCAAAATATGAGTCACTTCATATTCAAGGATAAATAAGAAATACTGAAACTTTAATAATAACCTGCCATTTCTCAAAATATTAAGAACGTAGTAATATTTTAAAATAATGACAATTTAACTCGGGAAGAAAATCATAAAAGCCAATCCTAAAAGCCTTGAGATAAAAATAGTAAGTATGTAGCTCTACATACACTTTGAAGCAAATGAGAAAACAGAATCTTTACAAACTCATTTACCAAATCTTATTCAAAGATATGCCATAGTTATGTGAATTTGGTAAATAAAGCCTGACACTTAAAATGTCTACTATTTGCACAGTATTTTTACTTTAAAGAACTGTCCCCTGACTCTTCTTCATAATATCTCTCAGACATAAAATGCAATATTCTTTCCACTGTGAAAAAAATAGACTGGCTGATTTTTCTAAGGCCACAGAATTTAGGATGAGCGTGAAAACAAAGGTGGGACTTTTCCCAGTTACATCCCTCAGGTGGTTCAAGCTGTTTCAAGCTGTTTCAGTTCTGTTTTTACTGCTTGTTAAGCTAAAAGGCATATGTGTTAAACTGTGAGAATCTCTATGCCTTAAATTAAACAACCAAAAAACTATGCAGAAGTGTGTGTAATCAAGCTCAATCCTAAAAACAAGCAAAAAACACTATAAAGAAGTTGAATTTTAACTTACAACTTTTACCATCGTGACATTACAACTTATTTTTTGTCTTCTTTAAAATATTCTGAAATTTCCACATTAGTATATAACATTACTAACGTTTACACTTATGTAAACATTACTATGCCAATGATATTTCTAGTATATAGTTGTATGAAGTCTGTTTTTAAATTTAGATTCCTGAAAAAAATCTAATTTAAAATTTCAGAGAATCAAATACTTACATATTCCTCCCTCTCATGATAAATTTCCTGAAAGATACTATTGTGCAACTGAGTTATTTCTTGTTTTATTTTCTCAATTTCAGTTTCATCATGGTCATCGGACTTTATCAGGGAGAAAAAATAGTAAATAGACTTATTGCACCAGATGAAAACAAGTCTTCCTTTAAGAACTAATGCCATGGTTATAGTAAATCACTCTGTGTGGTTCTCATGCACCCTTCAGTACCTAGATACAGAAAGTCTTCTAACATTAAACACATCCGTTTACTCTAACACTAACTTTTTCCAAAACTATAAAAAGCATTTAAATATAAAAAATCATTGCATATGTTTTAAGTTCCTGGACATTTTTTGAGGATAAAAATAACTAATCTTTTTCTCTTATTTAAGATTTACTTTTTTATTTTATGTGCATTAGTGTTTCTCCTGCCTCTGTGTCTGTGGCAGGGACACCCTGGAACAGAAGTTACAGACAACTGTGAGCTGTCGTGTGGATGCTGGGAACTGAACCCAGGTCCTCTGGAAGAGCACTTGGTGCCCTTAGTGCCAGAGCCACGTCACCAGCCCAACTTTAATCTTAAAATACATAGAAAGAACAGCAAATGAATTGGAGTCTGTGAAATTTTTACTTGAAATCTGGTTTTTAAAGCACACGCAACAAAATGATGAATAAATATCTAAATTAACTACTATGGGAAAAAATCTATGATTCTGAAACAATCGATATGAGTTCAATGTAGTTTTAGTAAATAAGGCACTTTAAAAAGTATGACTGCATTAAAAAGTTAGATATGTCTACAATGTCTACAGTCCTACTATAATGACTGTGCCCAATCTCGTTAGATATATTTCTCCAAAAATTGAAGACTGGAAAAAAAAAAACAGCTTCTCCACAGTCTAGAATACAATAAAACTAGAAACCACTTAAACTGCAATTAGCTCTAAAATAGTTCCCATTTTGCTTCCAGTTGCATGCTAAGAGGAAGAGAGATAAACACGTTGGATGGATATACTTTAGATGTTATCTATATATAAATAAAATCCTCAAGAAAGTTCAATTACTAATTTATTCACCAAGTTACGAGCCTGAGAAAGAAATGTAGTCAAAATTAGAAAATCCTAATCCCTGCAGCTGTATTACCATCTGAAAACAATATTTAAAACTTGCAAGAAATATTAAAAGATGTGTTAAAATAAGTTTACAAAAGGGAGACCTTTAAAAAAATACTTTGCCACAAAATTCTGCCTTTGGATATGGGAAGACAGCTCAGTCAGTAAAGTGCTTTCCTATATTCAATCTCCAAGTAAAGGACCAATATTGAGTCTCCAAGGGAAAACAGGCTCACAGTGTGACTCTTTAATTCCTACTCCAAAGGAGGCAGAGACAGGTGGTTCCCTGGAGCTTAGTCTAACTGCACCAAGCCAGTAACACACTGTTTCCAAAAACACAAAAATAAAGGTGGACAGTGCCTGAGAAAGGACACCCAAGGTTGTCCTGACCTTCATGTGCATATGAACACACAGACGTGTGCACAAACATACACACAAAGAGAGCCAGCCATGGTAGAATGCATAGGTTTGCATTATAATAGACATTCCAACAGTTTGCAGGGAAAAGGAAGTACAGATTTTGATGATCCCTCATGGAAGGCCTCACCCTTCCTGGGGAGTGGATGGGGGATAGGATGGGGTTGGTGAGGGGCATGGGAGGATGAGAGGGGGAAGGAACTAGAATTTATATATAATATAGATTGTTTCTAATTTAAATAAAATTTATTTTTAAAATTTATTCTACAATTTTGTCGTATTAAAAATCAAGGTAGCAATGTAATTCATGTAAGTTTTTAAATATTTGGTTACATGAGACACATTTTCAGTATGAATGCCATTTCAAATTTATTTCCATATACAGTGATGAAAAGATAAAGTACTTGGGCTTGTGAGATGGCCTCTAAGTCAAATGACCTGAGTTCAATTCCCGAGACCCACATGGTAGATCTGACTCTTAGAAGTTATTCTCTGACATCCACTTGTCCACAGTGGTATAGCCACACTTGTACATTCATATATGCACACTAAATAATTTAATTAGGATAAACAAAAATTTAAAATGATAAATGTACATGAAAAAATATAAATACAATAGTTTTCTCGTTTTAGAGATTTTATACTTAGCTTTATGAAATAATTCAACCAAAATAAGAAACTAAAACATGTTAGCTAGAATCAATTTTTTTCCTTACTTCTTCCAAATTACTCTTCTCAACCAATTTCCATCTCAGTTGAGCTTTTAAGCCTTTCAAAGTCTTCTTAATGGACAGCAAGTAATCCACACCGGGGGTCTTATTTAAACAGTCAATGATCTGATTTTTAAACTATATGAAAAAAATTTGAATTGCCATATTTTCAAACACATGAGACAACAGTCACTGAACAACATTATTTTACAAGTACTTGGGTTCAGAGTGAATATTAAGAAAAGTGCATTACTTTCTACAAGGTAAAAAGACCAACTGATTTCCTAATTGTCCACATTTCTGTTTAGAAGAATCTCTGGTCCAGTGCTCAAAGTACCAAAGCAAATACTCTTCAATTCAACTGAGACATGAAATTAGACATGCAATACCAACATGATATAGACTGAAACTTACGGTAAGGGTCTAAGTTGAAACAATCCTTCTCAAAAGTGATTTGACAAAATGTATCACATTTCAATAATGTTCATACTTTTAACTTAAGATTATAAACTGTAGGAATATGAAAAGTTATACAAGAAGTTACGTGCAAAGACGTGTAAAGCATGCCAGGCAGTGGTGGTGCACGCCTCAATCCCAGCACTGGCAAAGTAGAGGCAGGGAGATCTCTGAGTTCAAGGCCAGCCTGATCTACAGAGTGAGTTCCAGGACAGGCTCCAAAGCTACACAGAAAAATAAGAAGATATGTAAAGCATTATTTATATGGTCAACACCCAACATATAAGATCTAGTGACATTATATATTTATGCAAGAATGAAAATCATTCAAAAGGGCAATGAAGAATCATTGATCACATGGAGAAATGTTCCTAATATACCATAAAATTATGAAAATGTATTCAAAAGTGCTCCAAGACAATGCAAGGCAAAGCACATGTATACATAGTGGATGAACGTGCCCATTCACAGGCAAATACTGTATAACTGTCTCTTACACGAAAGGTATTAAAAGCAATGGTTTTATTTCTTAACTTTCTATATATAGAGTACATCTGTTGCAGGGAAAATGATGTTCATAAGAAAATCATTCCAATATTCACTGAAATATACATTATCAACAAAAACACCATTCAAATTTCATAGTGAAGTCAACTATGTGCCAGACAACAATGGCTATACCATTTTTCTTACAGTACTAATTAACACACTGAATACTAAACTACTTGAGAAAACTTCAACACGTAAGAAAGACAATGTAGCAATTCATAAAACCAATAAAAGAAAGCAACATCCAACCTCAACACTGTCCTTGTACTTGGATAGCAAGGTAGCAATAAACCTTTCCTCAGAATAGATCTTCTGCAGCACTTGACTGTATGTACTTAAAATAATCTCCTTGTCTGCAACATCTTGCTCCTAGATGAAAGAATACATATAAACAACAAAATAGTTAAAACCTTTCATAACAATCGATAATTTTCAGGCTGGCAGTGGTGGTGTATGCCTTTAATACCAGCAGCACTCAGGAGGCAGAGATAGGCAGATCTCAGTGAGTTCGAGGCCATCCTGGTCTACAAAGATATACAGACAAACTCTGTCTCAAAGAAAAAAAAACAGATAATGGATAAATTTCGAAATGAAAGTGACTTTGAAAATTGCTTTATCCATTTCAAATTATTTCTCAATCATTTTCTAGACAGAATACTGGCATCAAAGATACTCATGGGCAAAATGCGATCCTAATTATACTATAAATATTTCTGAAGTTGTCTGAAAGGCTATAAGGACAATCAATATTCTAAACAGAATATAACTTAACAAACTCAACACTTGAAGTTACTTTCAGAAACTGTCTCTCACCAACTTCTAAAATCAAGTCTTATAAAACCAACAAAACCTATTTAATAGAGAATGCAGTAAACACTAATTTATTTTAATGCATTATAAATAATATTTCAAAAAAGAAAGAAAATGGAAAGTATTATCACTGAGACTTTGGAAAGCAGGCTAACAACTGGGTTAACTGCCCCAATAAGCAAGGCTTATAGGTCTAAATTACAAAATACTCTTTGACACCTATACTTATTATCCATTGACATGGAATAGTGAATGTACACAATAAAGGGGCCTAGTGTATATATGTCCAAATGTTGCCCACTTTTCACTTTATTTTCATAACATTTAATGAGTGTTTTCTTTTTTTTTATTTTCCAGTTTAAATTTAGATAAGAAACGAGGTTGCTCCACAAGTCAGCTCCAGGTCCCTCTCCCATTCCCTCCCCTCCTCTCGTGTCCTCCCCCCAACTCCCCCACCCCCCGTTATCCTCTCATTCCCCCAGGGAGGGTGAGGCCCTCCATGGGGGTGTCCATAGTCTGTCATTTCATATAGGGCAGGGCCTAGACCCTTCCCCCAAGACATCAGGGTGAGAGTGCACCTCACATTGTTCTATGGGAGTCCAAAGTCCGTGTGTATACTTGGGATGGGTACTGATCTGCTGCCCAAGGCTCAATAGATTCCCTAGGCCTCCTCACTGACACCCAGATTCAGGGGGTCTTGATCAGTCCCATGCTGGATTCCCAGGCTGATGCCTGGGATTCAAGAGTTAACCTTTGTCTGGTCAGCTGTTTCTGGGGGTTAAACCAGCCCAGTCTTAATCCCTTTGATCATCAGTCCTCCCTCTCTGTTACTGGCTTTCTTGAGTTCAGCTCAGTACTTAACCAAGGGAGTCTGCCTCTTCTTCGATCAGCCACTAAATGAAGTTTCTGTTCCCAGACTCTCTGGCCATAGGATTGTAGGCTGGCACTCCCCAGATCTATGTCTAAAATCCATATATGAGAGAGTACATGCCATGTTTCTCTTTTTGTGACTGGGTTACCTCACTCAGGATGGTTTCTTCTAGTGTCATCCATTTGCCTGCGAATCTCATGATTCCATTATTTTTTTCTGCTGAATAGTACTCCATTGTGTAGATGTACCACATTTTCTCAATCCACTCTTCGGGTGAGGGACATCTAGGTTGCTTCCAAGTTCTGGCTATTACAAATAAAGCTTCTATGAACATAGTGGAGCAGACATCTTTGTTGTATGAATGGGCATCTTTTGGATATATGCCTAAGAGTGGAGTTGCTGGGTCTTGTGGTAGGTTTATTCCCATTTTTCTGAGGAATCTCCATACTGATTTCAAAGTGGCTGAACCAGTTGGCACTCCCACCAGCAATGGAGGAGTGTCCCCCTTTCACCACATCCTCTCCAGCATAAATTGTCATTGGTGTTTTTGATTTTAGCCATTCTGACAGGAGTGAGATGGTATCTCAGAGTTGTTTTGATTTGCATTTCCCAGATGGCTAAGGATGTTGAGCACTTTCTCAAGTGCCTCTCAGCCATTTTAGACTCCTCTATTGAAAATTCTCTATTTAGTTCTGCAGCCCACTTTTTAATAGGGTCCTTTGGTGTTTTGGATACTTGCTTCTTGAGTTCTTTGTAAATTTTGGAGATCAACCCTCTGTCAGATGTGGGATTAGTGAATATTTTTCCCATTTTCTTAAATGCACTGGATATGTTGAACCCAGAAACCAAACTGCAGAGAAAGCCAATCCATATTGGGTAAGGAGAGGTCTCCTAAAATCAAGCATTAGTCTTTCTTAATGTGAAATGTCCTATTCAAATGAAAACACTGGCCTGTGGAAGAATGGAGACACTGAATTATACTAGATTAGACCTTGATAGTGTAACGGTTTCAAGCAGGCCTAGAAAGAGGAAAATGAAGGTAAGTCTTAATTCTATCTAACAAGAGAACTCATATTATTGGCTAACACAACCCAGTTAGTAAATGAAACTGCTGTCTCAAAGCAAATGGTAGTATCATTGTTACTCACAATGAGAGATATCTCCAGCTCTTTGTAGACACATGACTCAGTCTTCTCTAGAATCTCATCAATATTACCAATCATGTCTTCTGAAGGTAGTGATTCACCCAAAGATAGATCAAAAACCTTATTTGCAAAATAAAAGCATGGTACATCTAAATTAATTACCTGACTTAGCATTTATTGTGCATATATACCTGAAGTAGAGCATGAGGCTATACCATGGATCAAACACAAAAAGTAAAATTCCGGGAAAACAACAAACGATACACCTTTGTAAAACTTACAAAGAGGAAAAAGACATACATTAGCACAGAATGCTTCAAAAAAACTGGCAGTTAAGACAAGTGGTCAATTCAAATGAAAAGAGAAAAACAGAACTAAAATCAACATGATTTTAATATAACAGTCTAAATGAAAAGTTATGAAAAATCCCAACTGCTACGAGTAGATAATGTCAACTATTGAACAATGAAGAGCAAAATTGAAACAAATATTCAATCCCTGTTTCCTTCCACCAACATTGTTAATTGGGTGCTCTGCTTACCTTCTGACTGCTCTGGAACCATGCCACAAGATGCTGCAGAGAAGCCTCTGTCTCACTCCTAATACTGGTGAACTCTTCTCTTTTGCTACACTGCCAGTCACAAAATTTTATAAGTATTTCTTCAGAATTAGTCCCTTCTGTGGCCTTTCCATACACTGCTTCTAAAGAAGTTGATAAGTCCTAAAGACAGAAATATTCATTTGTTAAAGTAATTGACCTAGTGTGACAATTTAAGCACTAAGTTAGGATTCTAGAAACAGAATATCATAATGTTGAATCCCTATCCCTAATTGTATGAATATAACTAAAAGGCAGAGAGAAAATATCCATATTAACAAAATTAGATATAGAAGGGGATAAGACAACAGACACCAAGAAAATCCGGAGAATCAAAAGAACGTATTTTAGAAACCCATACTCCACCAGACCTGAAAACAAAAGGAAATGGATAATTTTATCAATATATACCACCTACCAAAGTTAAAATCGAGATCAGAGAAGTAATTGAAACAGACCTACATCCTTAGGGAAATAGAAGCAGACGTTAAAAGTCTCCCAATCAAATAATTTTCCAGGGCCAGATGATTTTAGCGCAGAAGTCTCCCAGACTTTCTAAGAGTTAATGCTAATACTCCACAAAATAGAAACAGAAGGAGCATTGCCCAATCCATTTTTGAGGCCACAGTTCCTTTATACCTAAACCACATAAAGAAAATTACACGACAATTTCCCTTATGAACATAGATACAAAAATACTCAACAAAATCCTTGCAGACAAAATCAAAGAACACATAAAAAGTAAGCTTCATCCCACAGATGCGGGAACAGTTCAACATATGTAAATCAAAAAAAATTAACCCACTATATAAACAAAACAAAAAGAAGAAAACATTATCATTTCATTAGATACAAAAAAAGGCTTTTGACAAGATCTAACAGCCCTTTGTGATAAAAGTCCTGGAGAGATTAGGGACACATGAGACATACCTCAACACAATAAAGGCAGTTTGCAGCAAGCCCACAGCCAACATCAACTTAAATAGAGAGAAACCCAAAGCAATTCCACTAAAATCAGCAACAAGACAAGACTGTTCATTCTCTCCACACTTATTCAATATAGTGCTTTTAAGTCCTAGTTAGAGCGATAAGACAAGTGAACATAAAATGGAAAGAACTTAAAGTATCTTTATTTACAGATAATATGGTAATACTATCAGATAATAAACAAACCATCCTAAAAATTCCACCAAGAATCTCTTCCAACTGATAAAAACTTTCAGAAAAGTAGCTGGGTGCAAAATTAACTCACAAAAATCAGAGCCTTCCTATATACAAATAACCAAAAGACTGAAAAAGAAGTCATGAAACACCTTTCACAAAAGCCTCAAATAATTTAAAATGTCCTGGGCTAACTCTAACCAAGCGAATGAAAGTTTTATGATAAAAACCTTAAAACACTGGAGAAAGAAACTAAAAACGATATTACTAGATGGAAAGATCTCCTAGTAGGATTAGTATAGTAAAAATGGTCATCCTAACAAAAGCAATCTGTGGATTCAAAGCAATCCCCATTAAAATTCCAAGACAATTCTTCACAAATGTTAAAGAACAGTTTTCAACTTCATATAGAAACACACACACAAGCTAAAACAATCCTGTATAACCAAAGAAGTGCAGGAGGTAGTGCTATCCCTGACCTCAAATTGTATGAGAGAGCCACAGAAATAAGAACAAGATGGTTTTGGCACAAAAACAGACGCATTGATCAACAGAATAGACTTGAAGACAAAGACATAATTCCGCACACCTACAGACACCTGATTTTTGACAAAGAAGCCAAAATTACACACTGGATAAAAGGCAAGTAAGTGTGATAATCAAACTGCATGGCTGCAAATAGAAGCATGAAAACAGAGCCACATTTACCACCTTCTAAAAATTCAACTTATGGATCAAGGACAGCAACATAAGATCAGATACCCTGAATCATCTGACAGAAGAAATTATGGAATAGACTGAAACTCATTGGTATAAGAACAGACTTTCTGAACAACAGGACCAGTTCTTCAGGAATAAAGGCCAAGAATTAATGAATAAAACCTCAGGTCGCTTTAGAAAAAAAAAACTCTGTATACTAAGGGACACCATCTTCTATCAAATCTGTACCTACAAAATAGGAAAATACATTTACCAATTATAATCTAATAGATAATTTATATCTAAAACACACAAAGAAGTAATACTGAACGTCAATAAAACAAATAAACAAATTAAAAATGTGATACAGAACTAAACAGAGTTCTCAGAAGATGAAATGGCTGGAAAACACTTAAATAAAAATGTTCAATGACATTGGACATCTGGGAAATGCAAATTAAAACAAACTTAAAATTCCACATTACCACAGTCAGAATAGCCAAAATTAATAAAACCAATCAGGGCAAATGCTAGTGAAGATGTGGGCAAGAGGAGCACTTCTTCATTGCTGATGGACATGGAAACTGGTACAAGCTACTATGGAAACAAGAGTGGAGGTTCCTAAAAGGATGAAATACAGCTAGTGTAAGATCCAGCTGCACCACTCTTGGGCATATACCCAGAAGACTCTACACCTTATTACAGAGATTCTTGCTCAGTCATGACCACTGCTGCTCTACTCATAACAGCCAGAAGTTGGTAACAGTCTAGCTGTTCATAAACTGATGAATGGATGAGAATAGTGGATTTACACAATGGAATATTATTCAACTGTTAAGAAAAAATGAAATTAGAGGAGTGAGGGGAAACTGGTTGGGATATAAGGGCAAAAAAAACCAAAAAGAAAAACTATGAAATTTGCACGTAAATGGATGAAGTTAGAAACAATCATCTTGAGTGTGGTAATCCTGACCCAAAGAAACAAACATTGCATGTTTTCTCTTATATTTGTATGCTAGCTTTTTTGTTACCTTTTAAGTTTTAGATATTTTGTTTACAATATCCACAAAGTTTAGGTAGAACATCAATGACAAGCAGGAAAAGGAATCTCCTAAGGAAAGAAATTCTACCTTAATGCCAACATACACCCTTCACCCAATAGCTGATGGAAGCAGAAGCAGAGATTCACAGCTAAGCACTGAGCCAAACTCCTGGAATCCAGTTAAGAGAGTGAGGAGTAATGAGCAAAAGGGTCAAGACCATGCTCAGGAAACCCAAAGAAACAGCTGACCTGAGCAAGTGGAAGCTCAAGGACCCCAGTCTGACAGCTGGGGAACCAGCATAGGAGGGAACCAGGTCCCATGAACGTGGGTGTCAGTTAGGAGGTTTGGGAAGTCTATGGGGCCTCTGCTAGTGAAACCAGCATTTATCACTAGTGCACAAATGGGCTTTTGGAGCCCATTCACTAAGGGAGGAATACTTTCTCAGCCTAGATACATGGGGGAGGGCCTAGGCCCTATCCCAAATGATGTGACAGACTTTGGTGATCCCCTATGGGAGGCCTCACCCTTCTTGGGGACTGGATATCGAATGGGATAGGGGCCTGGTGGGGGGCATGGAAGGATGGGAGGGAGAGGGAACTGGGATTGGTATGTAAAATAAGATTGTTTTTAATTTAAATAAAATTTATTTTAAAAAGATAATTGTTTAAATATAATATTTGAGATAATATAACAGTGGTTTATGCATTTTTATCAACATAGAAATTTGGCATTCATGAAGACAAAATTAAAGTGGACACTGGAAATAAAAAAAGTAAACAAAAAACTAAAATGAGCTTCCTGTGCATGGGGAAAGCCACTGCGGTTCCCATCCCAGCAGAAGCCAAAGCACCCCGGCATGCTAGTCCCTTTCTCTGCCCACACAACAAGGCAACCCTGGGCCTGCTTCCGGCCTGCTCTTCACATAACCAGCTGAGGCCTGGGGACTGTACACTGCGTTGAATGGTGTCCAGCCCACCCTGAGACTGCTGTACTGGGACCGCCTACATCCACGGGAAGAGGAGAGCCACCAGAGGATTGGACCTGTTTGCAGCCACCAGAAGGGAACCCTGGTCCCGTACCCACCAGGAGAGAAAGAGACTCCTTCTCAACCCACTGGAAGAAGGGATGGGATGGATACAATATAAAAACACACTCAGCAACAGAAAAACCAATATGACACTGCTAGAATCTACAGGTGCAACACCAGCAAGACCCAAACATCCCAAACATCTGAAGGATAAAAGAAGGACCTTAAAAACAACTTCATGAAAATGATAGAGGCCCTCAAAGACGATATGAGAAAATCCCTTAAAGATATGGAAGAAAAAACAAATAAAAAATGCAACAAATGCAGGAAAAGACAAAGCAAAAAATGCAAGAAACAATTCAAATAGTGCAAGACTTGAAAGCTGAAATAGAGACAATAAAAAACATACTCTGAGGGAATGTTGGAAATAGAAAAGCTGGGCAAACGGTCAGGTACTACAGATGCAAGCATAACCAACAGAATTCAAGAGATGGAAGAGAGAATCTCTGGTGTTGAAGATACACTAGGAGAAATAGATTTAAAAAATCCCTAACACAAAATATCCATGAAATATGGGACACTGTGAAAAGACCAAACCTAAGAATAATAGGTATAGAAGAAGGTGAAGAAAGCCACCTCAAAGGGGCAGAAAACATATTCAACAAAATCATAGAAGAAAACTTTCCCAACCTAAAGAAAGGCATGCCAATGAAAGTACAAGAAACCCACAGAACACCAAATAGAGTGAACCACAAAAAAGGCCCCTCCCCACATAATAATCAAGACCTCAAACATATAGAATAAAGAAAGAATATTAAGAGCAGCTAAGGAAAAAGGTTAAATAACATACAAAGGCAAACCTATAAGAATTACACCTGACTTCTCCATGAAAATTCTGAAAGCCAGAAGGTCCTGGATAGATATTCTACCAACACTAAAATACCTCGGATGCCAGCTGAGACTACTATACCCAGAAATGTTTTCAATCACTATAGATGGAGAAAACAAGATATTCCATAACAAAACCAGATTTAAATAATACATATCCACTAACCCAGTCCTACAGAAAGTTCTATAAGGAAAACTCCAACCTAAGGAAGTTAACTACAACAAGAAAAACATAGGCAATACATAATCCCACTTTACCAACAGCCAAAAGAAAAAAGGGGTGGAAATCCACATACAATTCCAAC